AAGATGAATCTCTTTTGGAGACATGTGGTTTCATTTTGATTCGAAGCATTATGAGGACCGATATAAGTTAGCATAATTTTTTTTATCACATTTGGTGCTAAGTTCATACCACATACTACCACATTGGTTGGAGGATGAAGATCCATGTCGATGAGGATGTTGACCTGTGGAATGGTCTTACATCGCTTCATTGGTATAATGATTTCCATGTTCGGTATTAATATTCTTGTTGGACCGGATCATGTAACGTAAGGTGTCATCATTGGAGCTATATTTTTGTGACCACCTATGTAGTCTAACCCGGGTATTAAAACTTTGTTATGACAATCAAATTTGTCCAAGTGAGAGAATGTTGGAATAATTAATAATTTCATATGTGGGCTTCACATTCGATTGCAAATTTTATGGGTTAGATGTATGGCTCATAATGATATTTGTGTTTGGGTCAAATTTATTAAGTGATCAATTGGGTCTTTTACACCTTACGGGTTGTAATTAATTTGATGTGATAATTTAAAGTATGTGAGTCGGAAATGAACCCTAATTAGAATTCTAGTCGTAATGAGACGACTCAATTATTTTCTATATAAAGGCTAGGTCCCCTATTCTCTCCATAAGTTTTTTATTGGCTTGCCCCATTGATAGCTAATACTTTTGTGAGAAGCAAGGAGGAGAAGATCTTGACTGCTATTACAACTATCATTCATATCAACAATGGCTTCCGCAGGTATGAATTCGTTTCTATTAATTTATTGGATTGTGATTATCGATTCTTAACATGATTAAAACTAAATATTAACTAGACAGCTAAGAAGAAACGGGTACAATGATATACATTAGACACACAGTAAGGATTCTATTTTTTGGGACTTTTTATGGCTTTGTCATCTTTTATGAGCCATAGTTCATGAAAGTGAGGCCCAACGCCTGACCTAACTATTTTATGTGTCAATCGGAGACCTCTATAAAGGATTGTATTAAGATTTTTAAGGGGGATCATCACATTCCTATAGTATTCTGTCTTGGATATAGATAAGAACTGATCTTTGTGTCCACCGGTTGAATACTGCATTCATCACTATTTTTGCTTGTGGCATAGTCTTCATTCTATATGAGCCACACAACCTTTACTATTATGCCTCTTTTGTGTTAATTTTGTTATTTTCCTCTTTAATTGTCATATATTTTGCTTCGTAATTAGATTGCACTATGTTGAACGTGATAGTTATTTTCCATAGGCATTGAGCATGTTTACTTTTTACGTTTATGTTTATTAGGAGTATTTTTCCTATGTAATCGAAAACGAGGCCATCCGGGGCCATTGTTAGCAGATGATGATTTGATCGTGCTTTCATTTCCCTCCGATTCATCTGTGTTCTCTAACCCAGGGATGGTGGTACTTGGCAAAGGGCTTTTATTTCCAGAAGATCGGAGACGCTAAGAGCAACTTGTTTCAATAAAGGCAGCTGAGAACACGATGGTTAGATTTTTCAGGTATAGTATTTTTTGTTTACTTTATTATGGATAACTCAATTGGTTGACGCGAACTTACTCTACTGATTCTAGCGATTGCAAGGCCCTGTCTTTCACAAGAACGAAGCTCTTAGACAGGCTAGAAAGGTGCGCTAATTGCTGGATGCAAATACTTCATTACGTGGAGAAGTTGAAAGTTTGAGGATGGGGAAGAAAAATGTTAAC